TGATCCGAATGTGCGGATCCGAACTGTTCGACTGATCAGAATACGATCAAGAAAGACTGAGTCCCGACGGATCCAAATATTTTCGTCAGTAACTGGCTGAATACTTATCGGAAACGCCTGATCAGAAAAGGTGGACCAGTATCGGATTTCTGTCTTACTTCTGATCAGCCAACCTGATGAAAAGTTCCACTCGGGGATAGTAGTTTTTCGTTTCGGCTGTCTAATAATCACAGACAACAAATGAACCCTTAAATGAAACAAAAATAATGACATGATAGCAATCTTGTAACTTAGGGATAAAATATTTGTTGATAAATTTTCCTCTTCATGAGATATTTTCATCCTGAAAAGGCACCGTCTGGTGTGAATTATCCGCCTCTTGAGCCAAATATTTCGTTGCTGTCGAGCGCAGAACAATTATTCATGTCTGAGACTTTCAAATTCGAACCAAACAAATTCGTTTTTTGGCAATTTTCAACTAGCGATTTTGTTGGCCCAAATAAGACTTGTTTGACAACGCGTTTGTTTTTCCCTCAGTGCAGCGTGTGGCATGTGCTCCTGGACATTGGATTCATTGCGTTGACGAATAGAAAAACTCCCCAACGAAGATAAAAAAAACATAAAAAATCCCGGGACACGAAGAATATCGCGACGTGCATTAAATCATCTGCACATGACATTGTTATACATATGTATGCACTCAGGATCGACCAGGACAAACTGATTTATTACCTCAGGTATAATTGCCACTTGAGAGAATGTCGAATGAGTCGAAAGAGTTGAGGGAGTTGGCAATATGACCCAAAGAGGGAACGAATTATCCATGTATAGGTATAATGCCTGTCGTCACTGATGCATATCCGCTGCTCAACAGCATAATTGATACTTGAGAGATAAATGTTTCACCTCCTATCCTATTTACATGGCGAAAATCCCCGGGCAATACACCGTGAAACCAGGTATTCTGGTGTGTTTTAAACTCATGGATATGCATGAATCCTCTGATCTTGGGTATAAAAGGCTCTGCTGCTATTCCCTAATCATTTTCACTTACCACTGCTTCAATTGACTTTGTTGACTCGCATTCATTGATTCAGTCTTCTCTGTCGTCAATTCAATTCGAGGGAATAATCACGATGTGCTCTAGTTTCACTGAGACTGAAAAATCTCGAGATGAGGTTATTGCGATCAATGGAATTGAGAGGCCTCGGGAGTCAAGACAATTGAGATTTGGAAACGGATGAAAAGAATTAGAGGTGATCTGATGAGGATGAATAGTTTCAAGAAATGTTTGAAAATTCCAAGTGGCGGCGCTGCCCGCACCAGTCACCCACCTCGAACTTTTGAACCTTTCTCATAATTATTTATCCACTGCAGATTACCTTCAACTCATTTCATCCAGTTCCTCGAGAATGAACAAATTTTTCTAGCTCTATTTCACTTTTTTTCATCTCCCTTTGGCTCTGAATTCATGACGCAAAGTTTTTCCGGCATCAGTATTTTTCCTTTCACT